CAAATGAGGAATGCAACAAGCCATTCATCTCAAGGAGACAACACAAGAAGTGTTAGCAATACTAAGTTTTAAATATAGTCCATAAAATACAAGCTAGAACAGGAAGGAATTAAGAAATAGTGAAAGCAGAGTTTGTTTTTTTTCATAATGCAGTTAAGTGCTGATAAGTTACATTTTACAGTGACATAGAAAACATGTTCTACTTGTGTAAATCACCTTAACCTGAGGAAAATATGGGTAAAACTTTCTTTAAATTCTCAGTTGCAACTGCCCTAAAATGAAAAATAAATATTCTAAAATGTATTTGAAATGCATTTATTTCATGCTAGGTAAATACATTTATATATTTATGTACATAATAAAAATACCCAGCAATTGTACTATTGGCATACAAAACTGGTACACTTAAAGTGTGCTAAATTGGAACAACTATGTTTTTACTTAATGCACTTTAGTTGTGCAAAAGTAGTACAACTGAAGTATATTTGATTGTGCTTAAGTGGAACTATTGTAATTTTGTTTGTGTTTAACACCATGCCAACTTCTGTGGCTATTTTCATGGCGAGAAAAATATATAACAAATTATTTTATGTTTTTAAAATTTATTTTCACTAAAAACTCAAACTGTATCTGGCTTAACTCTGTTAAAAATTGAGTTAACTGAACAAAAAAGTTTTCTCACAGGGTAAAAACCAGCACAATCTAATAAAACATGCTTCAGAGATAAAGGGGTTTGGCAGAAAGAACATGTTGGAGGATCTTCTCCTAGTATTAAAAACTTGTGTGTCATCCTGGAATTACCTATTCTACAGCAGGTATAAACAATCTGGTCCCATCGTTTGGGAAACTGACAGAAATTTCTTTTTCAAACATTTGGGAACTATTGTAAGTATACTTCATGTACACTTTAAATATCTTGGATTTATAAACCGATAATATTCAAAGATCATACAATCTTCATCAATAGTGACATTAAAACACATTTTAGTCTTAATATTAGGAAATTTGCATTGTGCAAAAGTAGTACTCCAACTAAAGTTTGATTATATCAGTAAGTCTTGAGCGATAGGTCAGTAAATATGTTAATAGATTTGAACTACTACTTAGTATGAAATAAATGTAGCCTATTTTAAATATAATACTATTTTTACTAGGGTGGAATTGGAGTAACAGGAAGAGAAACCCACTGAATTGTAATTTTAAAAAATTAAAATGTAAAGAACTTTTTTAAGTTTAATGTGGAATAATAAAATTATATAATTGCTATACAACAAAATGGAATTTAAAAGGCATTTTAAATCAATTTAGAGTTAAATGGTGCACAGCCTTGGTAAACACATTCTTCACTCAACAGGACAGCATGTTAAAGTTTTTATTTAGATAACGTCAGAGACAATGATGATAAAAATAATCAAGTCAACAACAATGAAAAAAATTTAATGATGCTGACGATTGTGTCTGAGTCTCACAGGTTTTATTATGTTGATGTGGATTTGGGTTAGTACTGCCTGGGCTGTTGCTATTTATAGGCTTCTGTTGATGAACTGATCAAATCTGTTCTTTAACAGAAACTTCAAAGCACAGCTGCCCTTTGCATGCTGCATACTGAGTGTGGGCAGCAACTAATGGATGTTCCCACTAATCAACTCTGCATGTCGCCAGGCCAGTTAGATCCCCCTCAAGATGTCCACAGAGTCCGCGAGACACCGTTCTCATCATCCACCGCTCCATCTGTGTAATTGCTTCCTTGAGAGATTACATTCCCGCCAATGACAGCACCAATTAGGCAGTCAGGAGGAAAATACGACAATAAGGCCCTACTTAGCAGAGAAAAGTAGCATTCGAATAGATATCAACATAATCTTAATGAGTCAACAAACATGGCAGTTAGACATGCTCTCACGCAAATGTTCCAAGTTTGACCCACAGATACGGGAGGTACTCTGTAACCTTGAAGGGACAAAAAAAATTAATCTGGCAAAGTTACAGATATGGGATTAAAGTTGCAAGAATTCAAATCTGAGTAATTGATGACAAGGGTTTAACAAAAGAGGCTATGGTTTGTCCTTTTAAGGAATGCCTGACGCCTCTGATGTCAAAATCTCAATTGCATGGTCATTGCTGATGCAGACTACAAACCCTTAAACCACACCTACACTGCGACATCTGATTGGACTTACGCACATGGTGCTATCATTTAACAATCAGACAGGAGAGAATCCCTGTCTCTGTGTCTCTTGTCTGAGAGTCCATCACAAAAGGATTTAAGTCCTTGACCACAAACTGTAACTCAGCTGTTTCCACATAGCATTATCCTCAGCTCAGGTGAGTCCAATACTTGTAAAATGTAAATCAAATTACAATTTTACATTATCGTTTTAGATTTTTTTCATTTAATTTTTATCCTGAAATGTAATAATTTTATCCTATAAATTTTATCCTGATGGTTTAGTGGTAATTTATACTGAATACCACTGTAAGAGAAACAAAACAAACAAGTATAACTGCAATTAGTATTTTAGAGGGGAAACTTTGTGTTCATTTATGGATACAATGTGACTGAGTGTAGTAAACAAACGGGCTCTTTGAAATGTTGTAAATTGTTTTAGTATTTGACATATTTTCTCCTCAGACCTATCAGTAAAGATGTACCGTGGGCTAGTGTTACTGTTTTTGGTTTTGGTGCTGGAAACCCGATGGAGCGAGTCGAGCTGTCAGCAGTCAGAGTCTCAAAGAGCAGTTTCAGGCGTAAGTGACAGATTATGATCATCTAAAAGGTATAAATATATAGGTTTGCCTGGGCTGTATAATAAAAACTTCATTTCATGCACAGGAGAGTCCGAGTTTTCGGCTGTCGGCTCATAACTTGCTGAAGAGGTATAATGACATAGATTATGACAGTTTCGTCGGATTAATGGGGCGCAGGAACGCCGGTGAGTGAACAGATATATTTGCTGTTGTAAGTAATTTTGTATCGGATTTACTTCATTTTTTTCTACTGAAACTTACTTTTTTTCCAGACACAGAAGATATACCACCTCAGCGTAAAAGTAAGGCATTGGGGTACTTTTTGTGCTTTCAGATATTAATTTTCTTTTTTAAACAGAGGATATGTTTTCTTTTAGGGGAAATGCACGATATCTTTGTTGGACTCATGGGGCGACGGAGCGCTGACCCTGGTAAACACATTTTCTCTTCAATTCAGTGATGTTTGTGAAAGAAATAACGTTACCTTTTGATGACCGTTATCTTGATATCATTTTACACTTACACGAAATATTTTCGTGGGTTTACAGTCTGAATTTAATACGAAACGTTTGAATATTTAAAAAAAAAACGTCGTTCTACTGAGCTGTTCTCGCGGGGTGCACGAAATAAACAAACCTAAAACGCGAACAGTAGTTCGATTCTCAAACAAATGACTCTTATGAGCCGGTTCTTTTTAGGGAAACAAAAACATGCAGCTTGACCAATGCAGTTGAATTCACAACCAAATGACTCTTATGAGCCGGTTCTTTTTAGTGAATCAAAATATACACCCAAAGCAGTATCAATTGGTTTACGAACAAATGACTCTTATGAGTGTTATTTGAACTAACTGATCAATGAGACACACGAGTTACCGATTTGAATCTGATGAATCATTTAATGAATAAACTCGCTGATTCTTAAAGCGGTGACTGAATCGAATCTGCAAGTTTGTATTAGCTTTGTCAAGTCCGTCTCGAAATGAAGCATACAGTATGTGCAATTAAGGTTCGTGAAACTTAAACCAGTGTCTGACTGGTTGTTCATACGAGACAGTGTGTTAAAAGTAGCCTACACATTTGCAACGATTCTGTCTTAATTGAACCGTGTGGGCTGAACCTCAAACAAATGGCAAACTTAACAAATATCAGCGCTAACATTGTCAGAAAATTGTTCAGTCTATCACGCATCTCAGACTTACTGTATTTGTCTTGTCAGAAACTGGGCGTCCATGGAAGAAAGATTACCCAGAAACAGGCTCAAGCGGAGGCATTTTCTTCAACAAATGCAAACTGAGGTGAGCAATTCAGTAGTAAAGCTGCTCTGCCATCTGCAGGCTTTCTGAAGCTATTACAACACAGCATTTGTTCCTAAAGCATGTCTGTCTATTGTTACAAAATTACTGGCTTTCTTGTAAATATATATACTTATTTATATAAGTATTTATTATAATTACTACTTTTTTTTTCTTCTTTTTTTTTTACAATTTGTTGCAGGTTTCGTCGTGGGTTATAGGCAAATGAATTATTTCCTATCCAGCCAATCGTCTATCCCATTCCCACCCCGTCATGACAGATTCTTTTCAAGACATTTCTTTGGAGCAACAACAAAAAGTCATAATTTATTTTACAGAAGTAATAGAGCAAGAGAAAATATTTATATAAGATGAATCAAATAAACATGATTTCCTATGGTGTGATTTGTTTCATTGTACTGCAAATTATACATTAACCTAGATTACATATCGCCACATTTACATATCCACTTACATCCCCTGTATTTCAATATATTTATTAAAAGTTATTTTTGCTGTCTAATGTATAAAACATGATTTTTGTAAATAAAAATATCTATCTGATCTCACAATGTTTTATTACTTATAAATGTTTAAAACAGCATAAAATACACAGCAATAATTTGGCAATAACTTTTGCCAAAACACAGAAGCTTCATGACCAGCTGCATATATAGTTATGTACGTCAAACTTATATGCATTTTAACTTGATATCAACTTAATCATACTAGAGGAAACATGATGTCCCTAATACTAATACTTAAATGACTAATGCTTCACGTTTGACTTTGTGTGTTAGTGCTTTGGATATCAGTAGATCGTTAAAGCACAGTATGTCTTTAAGGAAACAGTTTAGTAATATAACAATAATAGACAACATCCCAACAAAAATAAGGCCATCTGAACTTTCCAAGTAAAAAAAAAATATTAAAGAAACCCCAAAGAATCATCAATGATATGAAACTCAGCTTTTCATTTTGTCTCATTGTTGAAATACAAAACTGTTGAAGCCCTTCAGCCATAATATATGATGTGAATCACACTTTTACTGTACTCAGACTAGAGGGCAGCAAAATGATTTATTCAAATAGCAGGGACCATATTAACAATCCGTTGAGTAGCAAACACTTATTCGAAGTGATATACAGTTGATTTATAACTGGCACAATCAGTCAAGTTACTTGATCAACAGCAATAATGACAAAATTTGTTCTTTGTTAAAGTTTGAACTTACAGCTTTTGGTAATTAGCCCAGATCTGTAACCACTTCACCACTCCATTTGCACAGTACACAGTCTGGATGATTCAAAATGCTTCACAAGTTCACAGTTCACATCTGTCAGTGCTACATGCGTTCATTCTAGATTTACACAAGAAGAGACGATCATATTCACAATCACGCAGTGTTTCTGTCGGTTATGTTTCTCCCCTGGGCAGCATTTGTGACTTTGTGACTTGTTGTTCCAGTAGTCTTCACTTTCTCAGCTCTGGGATTCATGGTGTATGTTGGAACTGATTTTTCTTTAACACGCTCCTCTAATCTCTGAGCTTCTGTGGTGGGTTTCCCAGTGTGGGAAGCTAAAGACAGTACAGCAGGCACTGGAGGCTGGTAGCGGTGTCGGTAGCTATAGGGCCTGAGACGGTAAGTGTAGTACTCAAGAGTGTACATTAGCACAGGGTCTACATAGTGGAAAGACACAGCTAGGTCAGAGCAGCACTGTGGGCCCTGTATGAAAAGACAAATATAAGAGATGCTGGTCTGTTACATTTACATGTGATTGCAGATAGTTTGCATTAAAATAAATATTCTGGGTTCATTACGAGTTAAGGTCAATCAACACACTTGTGTCAAAATGCTGATTACCATGAAAATTCATTTTGACTTATCTGTCCTTTCTTTAAAAAAAAGGGAAAATCTGGGCTATAGTGTGGCACTTTCAATTGAAGTGAATGTGGCCAATCTGTAAACATTACAATGCATCCATAGTACAAATATGTGTGTTAGTTCATTCATCCATAGGATAAATGTGTGTTAGTATGATTTTAGTGTGGGAAAAAAATCACTTGCTATTTTTTTCTGTATGCAGTTATATTAAAGTTTACAATGTAATTACTAATGACCAAAAAGAGAACTTTACAGCTTAAAAAATAGTTTTAACAGAAAAATACATTAAGTGCTTTAAAACATAATAAGCTTTGTATTACTAATTTTAACTTTTAAATTTACTTCTATTGTCTGTAACATTGATTTCTGCTTTTTTAAAAAGGAAAATTTAAGAAATTTTTGTCATTCTGTCATTAATATTGTTCAATTGAGCTTAATTTGTATGTGTAAAAAGGAATTTTTCTGAAAGAAATGACACAATTCTATTCTTAATCATATTTGTTTTTATACACTTTATCAACACTGAAATAGCATTTGTATCCTTCTCATTGCCACTTTGATAACCACGACAAGACAAAATTGTGTTTATTTCTTGGGTTTTGTATTGTTAGATGTTAGCTGTCTAGTCATGAATCACATCATCATGTACATGAAAGAAAAACTATTGACAAATGCTGTCCCCATCAAACCTATCCATTGTTGGTTTCGCTTGCAATCACCTGAAGGAGTTTCTAGTTCAGTGTGGCATTTAAAAATGAGAGGGCTAAAATTATGAGAGGTAATTTCGTTCTCAAAGTATATTTCTCAAACAATGTTGTTGATTTTCATTCATACCTATAAAACGATCCTGAATTGTAAATTACTTTTGACACTTTAATGGTTTTCTCCTCTCAGGCATAGATAGTAGTCAAGTTCTTAAAACTTTTCAAAAAACGAATTTAACTTCTGTCATTACTAAAGTAATAACTAATGTGCTTCCTGTGTGTAGGAGACAGAAGCTGTGGAATGTAGAGAAATGTCACAAAGGACAAAATATATCTTAAGAAAAATTACAATGAGTGCATATTTTATCCTACACTACCATCCAAAATTTGGGTTTAATATTTTAAGTCATCAAGGACACATTAAATTGCTCAAATGTGACGGTAAAGACATTTATAATATTACACAAGGTTTCTATTTTAAATAAATGCTGTTCGTCAAATAATCAAAATATTAATCAAAGAATTCTGAAAAAATTATTACGATTTTCACAAAAATATGTTTCATAAGCACCATATCAGCATATTAGAATGATTTCTGAAGGATCATGTGGCACTGAAGACACTGAATTTTAAAATATACAGTAATAAATAATAATTTAAAAAATTATTCTGAATTTCAAAATATTACTGTTTTAACTGTATTTTTGATCAAATCATTTCAGCCTTGGTGATCATAAAAGATATTAAAAAATATATATATAATAATAAAAGTGTGTGACTTACTTCTACAATTGGGTAGAAGCAGTAGTTCCAGTACCAGAAGGTTTTGGAGAACTTTCCTGTAAGATGGTGTTCAGGAATGAAAGGATGGAAGGTTTCACGGTGCAGTGTGTCCCTGGAGTCACCTGCTACCACCCCCATTTTCTCCAGACACTGACCCATCGCTAGATCCTCCACTGAGGAGGTATGCGTGCACACTTTAGTGCTAAAACCCTCCACAAACCTTCTCAGGGCCTCTTTGCTTAGCACATAACCTGCACCTCCGCTCATGTAGCCCTGCTTGGCGTAAGGCTTGAACCTCTTGCCAAAGTATATGGGCTGCTCTGCCGTGTAGTTCGACAAGATCCAGCGCAAGTTGTCCACAACGACGAACGTGTCATCGTCGGTTTTGAGGAACCAGTCTGCCTCATCGCCGTGGTTCTTCAGAACGTAGTGGAAGGCACGAATAGTCTTCCAGTACAGCTGGTCACGGCCTTCTCCTGTGCCGAGACCCACTGTGGGGAAGCTGCGGTCTTCCTCAGAGCTCATGAACAGCACTACGTTACAGTGACGACTCCACGTTGCCTTCACATGCCGAGCCTTTGACTGTAGATTACTAGGCCCTGTCATCACCCAGCACAGGATACGCACTTTCTTAAACAGCTCATCTGCAATGTGACCATCCTCTCCTGTGTTTTCAAAACAAGTTCTATAGTTATATTGCAAGTTTAATACAATCAAAACATATTTTGAAGGTGTACTTTAATCTATGTACACTAATCTATTAGTAGGCTATATATATATCGCGATTAATCGCATCCAAAATAAATGTTTTTGTTTACATAATATATGAGTGTGTACTGAGTATATTTATTATGTATATATAAATACAAACACATGCATGTATATATATTGAAGAAAAATATTATGTTTATATATTACATATTTATATATAATATAAAACATAATAATATAAATATATTAATGTATATACATGTAAATATTTGCAAAATATATACTAAATGTGTGTGTATTTATATATATACATAATAAACAAACACAGTACACATACAGTGGGTACGGAAAGTATTCAGACCCCCTTAAATTTTTCACTCTTTGTTATATTGCAGCCATTTGCTAACCTAACACTCGCTTTAACTCAGTAACAACCATGTTATCGGACGCTTTCACTCACGTAATATATTATTCATAGCTGACTGCAAATACAATAGCATCGGTAACTAAAAACATTCGTTTTTGCATAATGCTGCTGCTATGCTGCTAAAAATTACTTGGTGCACATTTAACAAATCACTGTGATCTTCCATTGAAAACTCAATGAAGTGAGTTGAAAGTGAAAGCTTTGCACCAGCTATTATGTTGCAGTGCTTTATATCATGTTACACTCATTAATGTATGTAACATAAATGATGCACTAGAGGGCGCTGAGCACCTGGCTGGTGAGGGTGTTTGAGGTTGATCAGGGCAGATCCTTCCACTCTCCAGGTAAGGTTGGGGGTGTTTTGTTCAGGCCCCAGTGGAGCAGGGTTGCTCTTGCCATCACGCTTCCAGCCGAAGCTCTCCTCAAACCACACCTGTCTCAAGAAGATATACAAGGTGCAGCTGCCCACCAGGAAGCCCAGGGAGAAAGCACATCTTGAATTCCCTGCTTTCATGGTGACAATTCAGGGATCCTGCCAACATTGGTCACTGTGAGGCTAGAAAAATATTGGTTACATTAATTTGAGGCTATTCATTTTCAGTGATTGTTTTAACAGTCTGGATACAAAGATCCTAATATACTATAACAATAACCTGCATTATAAATTTATTCCTTTGGCCATAACAGAAAAACTTGCAAATAAACTTAAATTATGTTTCCCTCTAGAGCAGAGATTTCCCAACTTTTTTTCAGTCGAACCCATTCTACCTAAAATATTTACTTGAAGAACCCTGTGAGATTTTAAGTTAATAGCCTATAACACAATTTGGATGTTTATGGCTTTCTGGTGTCAGTTAATGTATATATTTTAAAATGACTTATGTATGTTTTTTTTTTTTTCATTTTCTTTATTTAATTATTAGATTTTTCCTTTAAAACATACTTGAGCTACCATGAGGTTTCTTATATTAGGGTCAGACACTTTCTAAATTATAACCTTATATAATTGAATAGACAAAACATAAACCATCTATTCTTTTCAAGATCATTTCGATATACCAAGCCCATTTTCTATTTAGGATTCAGCTGCTGCCAGGTTAAATCTGAGGAATAGATTACAAGCTGGTTGCCTTGCGTGACTGATCAATCTTGGTTCTTACCCTCATTTCCAAGAATTAGGCACCTGCTGCTCCCAGACCTCCAGTCACATTGCTGCTGTTTAAAAATGTCAATTTTATAAAGTTGACAAGTAACATTTAGGTTGACTGCAGAGTCACTCCTTTATATGATGGATGAAACACTTCTACAAATATCCTAAATAACTCTCTATTACTATTAGGCCTAAACTTTAAATTTAACGAAAGTGTTCGAATCTAATGTTTGCTCTAAGGAAATCCTGCAAAGACTCAACAAATACCAGTCTAAGCTGGATTTTTCCAAACAATAGACAGAATACGGCACGGAATTTTATTAAGTTATGATACATATTTTAATGCATGGATAAAATAAATAACATTCTGTAATACTGAGTTATATGGTATATGCATAAAACAACCAAAATACACATAATGCACGCACTCGTTGAGACATAAGAGGTGCATCAGAAATCAAGGACAAAGGCCCTTACCTTGCATTCTTTAACTCCCCTCTGCAAGCCTCTCACCGTCCCAAGGAACGCTGTGGACTCCGGTCAGTTTCATGCCTTCCGTCTTTATTCCTCTAAATATCCGCGAGCTTACATGAAAGGAGCGCGTCAGGTTGCGTTTGAGTGCGCGTTGTGACGTCTACACCTGAACAAACGTTGAGAATTTCATTCTTTAGCTAAAGGACATGGTGTAGGCTAGGCTACGCCAGTCACCCGACTTATTTTGCCCCGTATTAGCATACGGTTTGCCTTTAACCATACGGTGAAAAGGCCTCTTTGTGTGCTATTACCGGACAACAGATCCTCTGTCATGAGCGAGTACAGTGTGTCAGCAGCATCACGCACGGATCGCCGTGTCGAGGTGTTTGATTGGAGGAATGGCCGGTTTGTTGTCATGGGAGTCCCCGCCCACTAGGGGCGTTCACTTATTTCAAGGATGGCAAATTTGTTAACCATATTATAACATATAATATTTGTCAGAGTACGTTATGTTATGTATATACGTTATGAATATGTTTAGAAAGCAGCATCAAACAGCAATGTAGATTTAGTTAATATTACTTTATATTTATTGTATGTTATTTTTACACTTTTAATGTGAAATTTTGTAAGGGCAAGATATCCCTGTCTCATTTTAACTTCATGTGTGAGTGAACTCTAGCATCTGTCGTATTCACTTGGATGTAGCCACTAGATGTCTCCATTTACTTGCTGTATGCATGAAGCTGCTATCAAGGGCAGATCTGATGGGCAGTATTTTTGGTCAAACGTGACACGTCTGGATCAGATGTAAGGCAGACATTGCATTATGCCTTCAATTATAATTGTATGGAACCAGCTAGAGTCCATCATCAGTACTAGAATGACAATTGTGGTTGGAAACCATTAGGATTATATTAAAGATGAAAGAGACCAGTTTTCCTGATGCAGTCTTGTGAATGAAGTCAGTAAACCTTTGGGTCTTGAGGATACCTGAGGATTCACTCAATGACAGTTTTTGGAGTCTGATCAGGTGCCAGTTGTCTGAGGAGTTGGTCCTTGACAGTTTGACTACAGGGCCAATATAGCTGCATAAAAAAAATCACTCATACTGCTAATTTACTTGGCATCCTTCTCAAATCCATTTTGCATGGTAAATTATGTATATTAATTTTCAACCTATAAGCGGACGACTCAATCATATTTTTTTGCTAAACATTATAGACATTAGAAGACATTGAAGACATTATATAGGCTAAGATAAAATTGTTGTTCTGAAATATATATATATATTTTATATTTTAAAAAGCCTTTTTTCAAGTGCAATGCAAAATAATGGTTATAAGCAACTAACACAGGTTGGTGACATTTTCTAAAATGAACTACTGCAATCAACACTCTGGCAACACTACAAATTAAACCACTGCATGTGATGCACTCTATGATGCAACATTCTTACTTCCCATGTCAAACTTTAAATAACAAGGCAACTGAAAGGATTATTTCCTCCTAGTTTAACTCAAGGGCTGACCGCAGTGCACTGACCATGTTCCGCATAACGCTCCTGCTGTGCGTTTGTACCCGGTTTAGCCTACTTATACTATACTAATATCTTTTTTACAATTGAGTAACGTACGTCTTATCAGTGTATGCTAAATAGCCTACCGTAAAGTGCATTTACGCGATTCGCAATTCGCTGATTACCCCAAGCAAGCAGCAGAGGATTCACATCCTCATTTTGACTCTCGCCACACGCCTCTTTGAACTTGAGGCAGTTAAATGGATTTTGGATTTCCCCAATTTTTAGGGTAAGGCATTATACTACACACCATTTTATTATATTGTTAAATTAATATATGTCAAAACACACGTGATCAGATTGGGAGGAAAGTAAACTTGACGTAAAGGTCCTCAAAATAAATCGAAAATTATAACAATTCAAAGCTTGTTAGAAGGTGTTCCAAAGCTGGAATTGAGTAAAGAATATGGGCCTGTTTAATGCAAGGTAACTTATTTTCAAAGTGTAAAAGCTTTTCTCATTTGTACTTGATTAAAGTTGTTGCTGTTCTCATCTTCGGGCAAAAATATATTCATCAAACTTTTCATTAGTGTCCATAAGCAGAGGTTAAAACAATAACAATAGTAAACAATAGTAATAACAATAACAACAGTAACAATAGTTTAAAAAAACGCAATGGGCTGGTTTACAAACATATAAGAAGGTGTTGTTCACCACAACTATGCTATAATCACATGACCAGAGGCGGACAAAGTAATTAAGTGAAAGTACAGATACTGCTGGTCAAATATTACTCCATTACAAGTAAAAGTTGTAAAGACAGATTTTTACTGAAGTAAAAGTACAGAAGTACTTGCTTTTAAAAGTACTCAAGTACCAAAAGTAAATTTCCTTATTTATGTCAATGCACTGTTTTATTATTAGTGTATGTAATACTTGCAATACCTCTGAAGCAACTTACAATACATTACACCTACTGAATACACGGACTAGCTTCTAGTATCTTTGGAATAAAGAGATTATTTAACACCCCTACCCACCCCCACAAAAGCAGGATGGTAGTGATCTCACACAGCTCTGGACACATCTATGTGTTTTTTAAATGCTGTCGCTCTTGCTGTACTTTGATGTCATACATAAAACAGTCTGTGCAGTGCTGCTTCAGTCAAACACCTTTTGTGTTTTATTAGGAGACGCACAACAGTTCTTCTGTGGCTTTATAGGTAATATTTTCACTTACACAATTTAGCAAAATCAGACAATATTGTGTCTAATATAAAACCTGCTTTAAAACCCAGCAACACAACTGTAGCTGTACAACTTTACAACAGCAACACTGCTTTAACAAAAAAGCAAAACAGCAAGACTTATTTGACATCAAAACAAAAAAATTTTTAAATGCTGTCGCTCTTGCTGTACTTTGATGTCATACATAGAACAGTCTGTGCAGTGCTGCTTCAGTCAAACACCTTTTGTGTTTTATTAGGAGACGCACAACAGTTCTTCTGTGGCTTTATAGGTAATATTTTCACTTACACAATTTAGCAAAATCAGACAATATTGTGTCTAATATAAACCACAATATTAACTTATTATTGAATTGTTGTAAATAAATATCACATTTGGAACTGGTCAGTGCTCAAAAAATGCTGGGAAATCACTTCATGTAGCCCCAAGAGTGATTACTGATAAACTGTCTGATAAAAGAAAGTCATGTTTTAGAGAATAAAAAAAATCACCCACTGATTTTCAAAGCTGCTAACGACTTTCTACTTCGAGGATCTGGATAGATATGTAGTGGAGTGAAAAGTACAATATTTGTCTTTCAAATGTAGCAGGGTTGCCAACTCACACGCATTTGACGTGAGACACACGCTTTCAGGCTCTGTCTCACGCTCTCAGGCTGCCCATGTAAATCTCACGCCAAATTGGCAACTCTGCTTGTAATATGAAGCAAAGTCTCAGCTTTCAGATTTTGTAAGTTTTAATACGAAATTCAAACAATAAATACAGTTTTGGACTTTTGGCGAACTTAATGTGGCCCAATTCGTTGTAGCGCCTCAGTTAAAGCCAGAGCCATTGAAAAACAGCTGCGACATGACTCTTTGATCTCGCCGGCGTCGCCGCTAGTGTTGGGTCGTTCTTGAACGATTCGTTCGTTTTGAACGAATCTTTAATGTGACTCGGGAAGAACGAGTCGTCTCGGGGAGTGATTCGTTCAGTCGCGCATGCGCAACATCCTATAGGTTCTGTACTGGAATTAGTCAAGTAGTTCACCTGGTTCGAGTCTTCGGGTTTTTCCGAGTCGTTCGTTCATCACGTGACAGCCCCATAAGCTTTAACCAATGCAGTCTGAGCCGGAAAGAGAATTGATTAGTTCATCTCGAGTCTTCGGGTTTTTCGAGTCGATCGTTCATCACGTGACAGCCCCATAAGCTTTAACCAATGCAGTCTGAGCCGGAAAGAGAATTGATTAGTTCATCTCTCGAGTCTTCGGGTTTCGAGTCGATCGTTCATCACGTGACAGCCCCATAAGCTTACCCTATGCAGTCTGAGCCGGAAAGAGAATTGATTAGTTCATCTCGAGTCTTCGGGTTTTTCGAGTCGATCGTTCATCACGTGACAGCCCCATAAGCTTTAACCAATGCAGTCTGAGCTGGAAAGAGAATTGATTAGTT